ATACCACAAGTTTCCACAATATGTGGAATGACTGTAAATCTGAAAAGAGCCTAAGCAAAGCCAGGACAGGATGCAGGTTTACTGATAATTACTTACATGATGTTTGCTACAACTGATTTGGCTAATATGGTAAATGCACCATTTTTCTCTTAGATCGAGTTTTTGAGGCAACTTTGCTGAGCTTCATGAATCCTGGTAAAGTCAGCTGTTGGACCATTTCCAAGTAGAAACTACATAAGACCAAAAAGTTTTGGCGGAGTTATGTTTCTGAATCTAAAAAGTTTGGCGAATACAAAATCTGTATCGACTGCTGAAAAAGTCACTGAAAAACATTCTGTCTACCTGATCGTAAACAGATGTCCACTGCCTAAAATGTGGGATGTAAAAAGGACATTAACAGTTATAACCAAGTGTGCCACCCCTTTACTCCCAACTTATTTAACTGTCCTACTCCAGATCGATGCAGGAACGTTGCTACTTTTAAAATTCAGAAAAGAAAAAATAAGCTGTTGGCTCTGGCCCATATCGTGTATGTTTGCTTACGTTTCATCCTGCTAATAAGCAAAGGGGAAACAGGCATAGCTTCCATTAAGAGGGCTACACTCTGCCTAGTAACATCCTGGATGGCACACACAGACTCTTATTTGACTGATGGGCATTTTTGTACAGATGGTATAAGGAGAGATTTTCCATCAGGACATGAGTAGCGGCATGCTTTGTCAAGACGTCATTTTTCTAGTAAGAAATGAACTGAGCTGTCTTTTCTTCTACTTATGGTCCAGTGGAATGCCAGATTAAGGAAAAATTTGTACTGAACATCACCTACATGAAGTCTGAGAACCACCTGGTAGCTGTTCTGCTTTAGGCAAAGGCTCTGAATTGGCATCAGGAAATCAGTAAGAGTAGCAGCAGTTCACTTAAAGAGCGCTGAATTACGGCCACAAGATGGGATTAGGTTTGGTATTCAGCGTGTGGAACAGTCTCAAGGGAGAATTTAAGAAACTGGAAGATGGCTTAGAAGGGTTTGAAATGTCACTATAAACAAGAGAAAGAGAATAAGTCTTTGAAATGTAGCTGTCAGGTACTTAAGATGCGGCTCCAGTCTGAATGAATTTCCAATTTCATGGAATAAAAGTATTTATGTACAATATAGCAAAGGTATACAAAGGCCAAAGCACTTTAAGAATAAAGAAGTCATGGACCAAAAACAAAGACAAATATTTTAGTCAAGAAGAGCAGCAAATCTCTGTTTTCACAATTACACAAAGAAATGTTGTATTTTACCCAACTAAGTTTTTTGGGTCACACATTTAAGTGAAATTTTCATTCCTGCAGAATCATCGCAACAAAAACTAATTACAAAGAAACACCTAGACGTTTTTGATGGAACAAATTCCAACTTCATAAATATTTAAATAAATCAAACAAAATGCTGTTAACAAACTCTAAAGATTAGGCTAATCATAATTCCTTGATTCCAATAACTTCCCATTAGTTCTATAACAAAAGTTTAGAGAGCAGAGATGCATAAATTTGGTTTCCTCATCAAATTATTTATCTAAATTGCACCAAGAAGTAATAATCAAATAAACATTGTTCCTTATAACCATTTTTCCATAAATTAAAAACATTAACAGAAACACAAAACAAAATTTATACCAAAGTTTTTAAAGACATTTCCTGAAAACTACACTTATAACCAAGAAAATTTAGCTGTGAATAAATTCTCGACTCAATTGTGGGGTAGATCACACAATTTCATGTGAAAAGTGGCACAAGTCAATTACGATTCTAAATATCAGAGCAGTCCTTGACTGAGAAGTTCAAACAACTTCTATATACGTGGTTAAAACAGCAAAGTTGGAAGTACTGTAGTTCCAATAGGCTAATGACACCAGAGCTTAATGGGCTGATTGGTGATATATAAGACAAATGACACGTACACTGTTAGGAATAGAGCTAGATTCAAAGTAAACAGACAGATTTGGTTGGCATGTGCCTGGGATGGAATGCTGGAAAACGCCAAGATCCGAACGGGCTACAGGAAATAAAATAAAATGTCTTAGTGATGACTCCTGCAAAAGTATGAATAATGCTGTCTGTCATACTGGATACATAAATAAGATAAATTTGAGTCTGAAAAGTCCTCGAAAGTTTGTTAGAAAAGCCTTGCTACACCGTATAAATGTTGATCAGGAGCTTCAGAAAGACTGCTCTGTGAGGTAAGATGTTGGTTCCTCATCCCTCACAATGCCCTCGTTCAGATTCTTAGCAGTGGAACTGGCCCACTGTTATTTAAGCTATCCATGTTCAAGGATATGAGATTAAAGTAAATCCATCCCCCTCCCAAACCAGGGGTTTGCTAAGCTATGAGAACCACCATTCTTTTGGACGTATCTACCCAACTGTCTTCTGGCATCAAATCCTTTAAACTACACAAGAAAGAGATGCAATATTTTCCTGTGTAAAGGGCACTGAGCTAGGAGTCGGCAGATATGAGCATTTAAGCTGTGTGACCGTAGGCAAGTCAGTCTTTCTAGGCTTCAAATTTCCTCATCTAAGGCCCCTTCTAGACCAAATTTCTATAATCTAAGTCTCTAGGTTGGACATAGTCGGATTGAAGGCAGAAACCTCTAGTTATCCTCATGCCGTGAAATGGACAACTGGCATCTCCACTGCGTGAGAGTTGGGGGAAGAGGCGTGGCTGACTGCAGCCGGAATGGCCCCTCTGCTGACATCTCACGGAAGAGGGAAGAGGCATAGTGGCTACAAGCCTGAGGGGCTATCAGCAAAGCCCCTCCCTCTTCCATTCCTAAAGAGTTTATAACCAGAATTTTTCTTTATGTTCTCACCCCCATTCCCTCTCACACACCTCAGGCTCCCGATCCCCAGGCACCATTTCTTGGAGGGGACCTCCATTACTTCTAATAGATCCTAACAGCAACTATGTGGGAAGTGGGGTACTGTTCTAAGTATAGATGTCAATCCATCTTTTAAAAATAAAATATAATTAATTTGACCCTAACCCACAGAGCATCTACCTAGCTCTTAAACATTTCTTATTGCTGTTCCTGCCCATATACGGAAACCTATTGACTCATTTTCAAAGGATCTATTAAACTTGTTTGCTGCTTTGGACCATTTTAGTTAACTACCCAACAAAGTTCATCTAAAAGGCAGGTAAACAGATGGGCAGATTGGCGGTCCTTGTCAAGGCCAAGGGGTCAAAACATATAAACCTTTCAAAGGTCCATTCTTTGCTCTGCTAACTCAAACAGCGTGTTAACTATTAATTACTACACAGGCTTCTAAGTCTGTTGGCACGTGTTGGTGTGAGATGGCTCTGTCTAAAAGATTCTCTATCTGGCCATCTGCAAATGGACAGGATTGCGAAAGAGCCTTGACGCAGGGAATCCAACATCAGCATCTAACTGGCAAAGCATAAAGCTAGTTGCTGTCAGGTTACCCCGCGCTGGCAGAGCTCCACCTGGTAGCCGAGTCTACTACAGAGAGGTTTACAGTTTGACCTGCTACATTTCAGTTCACCTTGCCCTAAACCCGGTGACTGCCCATATGGAGAAGTACAGAACTCTAAGAACTTGGCTTCTTCTTTAAAGGAAGAATTCTAAGAAGCATCATTCCAAAATAAATTTTCTTCTTTAGAAACAAATTGTGGATAATTACCTAAACCTATATGAAAAACGGAGCTTTTCTGGTCCACATCACAGCTGAGTATATGTGCTCTTTATCAGTCATATGTAACTGTTTATTGACCCTCCACAGAACTCTTCGACTGTCTTCTCCACTGAAGATGTTTGATATAAAACTACAAAAAACCAAATGAGAACCTGTTCTATCAGTGATGTTTCCAGATTACTTTTTTTTTTTTGTCAATTAGCATGCCATCATTCTTCTAGATATATCAGAATTAAAGGTGAAGCCAGATTTTCAGGTTTGACTGTATTACCCATGTTTTCTCTAAGGTTTGTAGACCAAAAACTATCAGCATTTAGACTCTGGGTTTAACTTCGTTTCATGATTACTTAATCCTAAGAAAAAAGTTTCAGCCGGTTAGACTCTACGTTTATATTTACTCTCAGCTCGCTCCCTTCCTCGGTGTACATTTTGCTGATTACGTGGCTGAGAAGAGCAGAGATTCCTCCCTGTCCAGGGAAAGGGACTGGGGGCCAGCTCTGCCGCTGCCGCCCAAACGGGGCCCTGGAAGGGCTAGGAAGGCGGGGACCTAGCTACGCACAGCATGCCAGTAATTCACGTCTCTTTCTCTGATTCTACTTCTAAGACACGCTTCTGTATTGAATTTTAAATTTGGGGGATAAGACTGGTATTTTACTACAAAGAAACGTATTACTAATGTTCTTTAATTTCACCTTTTGATCTTTTTCTCTTGATGGTTTATACTATGAGCTTAATAGAATGTCATATAACATTTCGACAGAGAACATCCTGTTATATAAATATTTAAATACTACCACTGTCGAACTATTGCTACATTATGGTTCCTGAGAACTGTGATGACTACAGAGACGGCTCGGCTAAGTTTCAACGATCAGTCTCTTTGATATTAGTCACCAAGGAATTGTCTATGTAATAGACGTATAATTGTTGTCTTACTAAATATGGATCACAAAACATTAGTTTTTCAGTTTCCATTTATCAGTCACAATATAGACAAGAAAAACATTTATAGAAACATAAAAAAAAAACAAAAAATAAAAACTACATTAAACTACATTAAACAAACATGAACAAAACCATATAGAATAAGAACATCATCGATAAAAATAAAGAATTAACAATAAATAGCAATCCTTACACAAGAAAGTGGACCGTCAGCACAGCAGAGGCAACGTACAGTCACACAGAAAGACAGAGGCTTCGACTACCAGAATACTATTTTTGTCTCAATCCCTCCTCCTCGTTTTGGCCTGGGAAATCACCAATTCCTAAGCAGTGAGTTTATTTTCCTCTCCCTTCCTCCCTCATGCTTCCATCCTTTTCACACTGGGGTACCAGTGTAGGAAGCTCCTGGACGTGGCCAGCCGGGCAGCAGCTCCTAAGGCAGCAGTGGCTGTACTTCGAGGAATGTAGAATGTCTGGGAAATCTGGTGCTCAGGAGACAAAATCAAAGAGAGCTGGTCCATGGCTCCATGGCTCTTATCTTTGAACACTGTAATAGCATGGCTACTAGAAAAATCTTCATTCTTTAGGCTCTCTGGAGAGCTTTCCACTGAAAAAGAAAGAAAGCACAAGTCTTTTCAAGGGTTCTCACACTCCCTGCCTTCTCTCTCCTATTCTAGACTTTTACTAACATGTGTTACAATCATCTTCTGTTAGGTGGTGACAATTACCAATGGCAATTAAGAGACGATGAGACTTAGAAACCAATCAACAAATGGAAAGGAAATGAACATGGGGGAATCCTGACTTGAGAGAAAATAAATTCTTGTCTGGATGAGGGCAAAAAAGAGAGGGAAAAAATGCACTCTGAACAAGAAAGGGAAGCTTGCTCCCCAGGACACTGTAGAACAAACTGGAAGTAATTCCAACGCCAGGGAAGTACCTTCCAGCTCCCCTACTTCCTCCCAGCAATGAGCAAAATGATGTCCCACGGGCATTCTCTGTGGCCAAAGTGGCTCCAATTCTGAGTCTGTGCCAGTGTGAAAACAAAACTGACCAAGACTGTGGCTGCTGTAACTTTCCAAAACCCAATATCGGCCATAAAACGAATTATTTAGGAGTTAGTTTCAACTAAGAAGAAAAAACCTTTCAAATGAAACAAATTTCTGGGAACTCACATGTCCCAGAGATCTGACTAGCCAGAGCAGGGAGGGCTAGGCATTCTCATAGGTGTACTCCAGACCAGTTCTACCACAAGTAGCTGGTCTGCGAAGTGTTTATTACCTGCCTCCACTGAGACAAGGAGCTTATGCCAGCATACTGCTTCCTTCAAGAAAACTCTGCTTTAGAAAAAAAAATCTAGGTGAGCTAAACAATGTGCTATTGTGTGGCCCACAATTACAAACACTTCACAGACTGGAATCAGTATGCTGGCTTCATTTTGAAAACTACTGCTCTAGATCTAAAAAACACAAATTTTAAAAAAATTCAGAGAAAAAAAGCAGGCATAATTCAATATTTTATTCATCTCTGCATCTTTAGCATGAGCTACCATAGTAGCATGTGGTATATGTTCTATACATTTGTGATGAATTATGTTTAAGGAGGATTTGACAGGGTATTCTAAAAAGTAAAACTCTAATTGTAAAACTCTAATTAATGCCTCAGAGAGGAAAAGAGATGGTGAGATCTAATGCAATAATGTGGTTTTACAGGAAGTCCTTAGTGAGCTCAGATTTTAAAAGGTATAAGAAAATAAAAGCAGGGACAAGTGATCAAAGAATTTAAAAGAGTAGCAAAATTTCTGCTCCCAGACATGATGCTAATTCAACAAGGATTGAAAAACAATCTCTCTTGCTTTAAAGAACTGGAGAACCACATAAATAATGAGACAACAGCTTTCAGACACCGAACGACAAGAATGCAGGACAGAGATCCTTGAGAGAAGGGAAAAATGGAAGTGAGCCTTACAAGTGCTTGAGCTCACTGTCAGGAGGTAAATTCCAGGCTGCAGTACAGGAGGCAGAATCCAAACTCAGCCTGGAGGTCTTACTGGGTAGAGATGAGAGTCGGGAATATGTGAGGGGAAAGCACCAGAGAGGAGGCGGCTGGAGGGAGAAAAGCAGCTGGAGACCTGCAGAGAGCTCCCTTTGAATCTCGGGCTGAGTAGCGATCGGACTCACGCATGTGAGGAAATCACGAAGGCCAGGGGAAAAGCGACCTGACAGGAGCAGCCAGAACAATCACCGTGGCTTATACCGCGGCACGAAACACAAATGGTTTGTGTTTTCACCAGCCTCAGTGTCAAGATATTCCGACACACAGGACATCAAGTCCCAGCAATAGCCTCAGAAAGGTACCGCCTGAATAGTCAGGCCACCAGACTCGGGACTCTTCCAAATCAGCCTAATGAAACCCAAAAGAAACGCAGAAAGAATCAAACTAATTTCGGATAATTTCATGGCATTCTTCCCAATCCCAAATAAATAAATAAATAGATAGAGAGGTAGATATATAGAAACAGACAAAGATAAGAAGACAGGGAGGATGGCGGGGGGGAAGAGACCTAGCCAGTAATGTAAAATTCACAGTATCTGCCGTCCAAGAAAAAATTACCAGATATGCGAAGACGCAGAAAAATATGACCTGTTATACAGGATAAAAATCAATCAACACAACCTGATTCCAAAATTATACAGATGACAGAGAGCAGAAATGATACATATGCTAGTATCACAAGGCGAGGGCATTAAAATAGCTGTTATAAGAATACTCCAGGTTTTCAAGACGGCAGAGGAACAATGTGACTATGAGGAGGAAAAAAATGGATGATGTAAAAAAGACCCAAACCAAACCTCTAGAGATGAAAACGTTGCTGAGATGAAAAATATAATGGATGGGGAAAGAACATATTAAACACTGAACAAGAAAAAGTTAACACACTTAGAGATATAGTAATAGAGACTAACCAAAATGAAACACAGACGGCAAAGACTGAGGAAAGGAGCAGCGAATCAGTGAGCTGTGAGACGACATCAAGTGTCGGGAGAAACAAAAGGAGGACAGGGTGACTGGGAAAAAAGCATTTAAAGATATAACAATTGAAAATTTTCCAAATTTAACGGAAACTGTAAACTCACAGACCCAAGAAGCTCAACGAACCCCAGACAGAAGAAAAATGATGAGAACCACACCAAGGTGTCTTATAATCTGATTGCTGAAAACAAGTATATGAGAGAAAATCTTAAAAGCAGCCAAATAACACATTACAGTAGTCTCCCCTTGTCCACAGAGGGTATGTCCCAAGACCCCCAGTGGGTGCCGGAAACCGTGGAGAGTACCAGACACTACATGGACTATTTTCTTCCTATACATATATACACACCTATGCTGAAGTTTAATTTACAAATTAGGCAGAGTAGAAATTAACTCTAATGGATGGTTAATGTATAAAGCGTGGATATGCTAGACAAAGGGATGATTTGCATCCTGGGCGGGATGGAGCAGGATGACACAGGATTTCACCATGCTACTCAGAATGGCACTCAATTCAAAACTTATATATTTCTGGACTTTTCCATTTCATATTTTCGGGCACAGTTAACCACAAGGTTACTGAAATCACAGAAAGCAAAACCACGAATAAGGGGAACAAGAATAAGAACAACAGACTTCTTGTCAGAAAGTCACGAGCAGAGTGACATCTTTTAATGCACTGAAAAATCTGTTGACCCATAACTTTATATCCAGAAAAACAATCTTAAAGAAATGAAAATAATGGCTTTCTCTAATGTCCAAAAGTGAGAATCCACCAGGAGCAGACCAGCACTACAAGAAATGTTACAGTTCTTCAAGCTAACAGAAAATAATACCAGATGGAAAGCTGAATTTGCAACAGGCACTGGCAAACTACATCCTGTGGTCCAAATACAGCCTACCACCTGTTTTTTAAATAAAAGTTTTATTGGAAAATAGCTATGCTGATTCATTTGTGTATTGTCTATGGCTGCTTGGGTGCTGTATGGAAGAGGTGAGTATTTACAACATATACCGTATGACTGCAAAGCTGAAAAAATTTACTTTCTGGCTCTTTATAGAAAAGGTCTGTTATAAAAATCAGGTTTCCTGATTTACACAATCAAACAAAGAACACTGGAAATGACAAACATATTTGGAGCAAAATAAGAATGGATTTTGAGATTTGCAACATAGGAAGAAGAAAAATATACAACAAAAGCTCAAAGGCTGGGATGAGGAAAATGGAAGTATGCTATTATAAGGTTTTCATACTATACACGTAAAAATTTGAAGGTAATAATTTGAATATACAGACTATAAATCTAAAAGCAACCATTTAAAGAGCAAAAACTAAGAGATATAACTATTAAGTCAACAAAGGAAATAAAACAGAATTATTAAAAAAAAAACTAAAAAGAAAGGAGAAAAAAAGAATAAAAGGAATAAAAGGAATGGGAAAGAGAGAAAAACAAAAAAACGGTAGATTTAAACCCAAACATTTTGATTATCACACTATATTATCTAACCACTCCAATTAAAGATTATTAAATAAGAAAGAAAGACCACAGTACATGCTGCCTACAAGAATTCCACTTTCGTTATAAAGATACAGTTAGGTTAAAAGTAAAATAATGGAAAATGATAAACCGTGCTAATACAAGTCAAGAGAAAGCTGGAGTGGCTGTACTAATAATATCAACAAAGAAGATTTCAAAGCAAAGAATATTACCATGCATAGAGAGTAAAATTTAATAATAACAAATGGATGGAGTCATCAATAGGTCATAATAATACTAATAGCTGAGTGTCAAACTACTTGAAGCAAAACCTGATAAAACTGAAATTAAAAAGACAAATCAACAATTGTAACTGTAGAGTTCAACAATTCTCTCTTAATAACTGATCGCACATACAGGTGTAAAATTAACAAGACTATAAAAGACTTAAACAACACTATCATTTTGACTTAATGGGTATTTACAAAATACTTAACCCAATACCAGGCTACGCATTGTTCTGAAGCATACATGAAAGATTTACAAAGACAGACCATGTTCTAGGCTACACAATTATTGTCCTAATTTAAAGGATTCAAAGTATTGATCACAAAATTAAAAATCAATAAAAGACATCTAGAAAATCTCCAAATATTTGGAAATTACACAATAAACTTCGAGAAGAGAAAACTCTTAAGGGTAAATTCTATTTTGAAATGGATGAAAATAATAATATAACTCACCAAATTCATGCAGCTAAAGCAGTGTTTAGAGGAAAAATTATAGCATTAAGTATTCTAATGTTTAAAATTAAATACAGCATTAAACAGTCTAATATTAAAATTTGTACTAGAAAAGGGCTGTGAAATGAAAGACTTAAAGTTTCAACTTGAAAAATTAAAAAAAGAGAACATTATAACAAAAGCAAGTAAAGAAAAGAAGTATTTTTAAAGAATTAAGAGCAGAAATCAATAAAATAGAGAACAGAAAAACAACAGAGAAAAATCAATGGAACAAAATAATTAGTTCTTTGAAAGATCAACAAAACTGATAAACCTCTAGGCAGATTAACTACGGGAAAAAAGACGACACAAATTACCAAAACCAGAAATGTGAGAGAAGATATCACTACAGAGATTTAAATTATATAGAAATATTATGACTATATTTTGCTACTAAGTTTTACAGCTTAGATGAAATAGATAAAATCTGTGAAATGAAAACTACCAACGGTAATACAAGGAGAAAGATATTGAATTTATAGTTTAAAAATCTTCCTACAGAGAAAACTCCAGGCCCGGAAGGCTTCCCTGTTGAATAAATGTTTAAGAAAGAAATAATACCAATTCTACACAAATTCTTACAGAAAAGAGGAGAGAACATATCCCAACTCATTTCATAAGGGCAGCATTCTCTGGCTACCAAAACCAGGCAAAGATATCACAAGAAAACTAGAAACTAATATCCCTCATGAACACAGAAATAAAAATTCATAATAAGATTTTAGCAAAAGAATCCATGAATCATACATCATGATCCAGAGGGCACTGTCCTAGGAATGCAAGGTTGGTTTAATATTAGAAAATCAATGTAATTCACCATATGAACAGACTATTTTTTTTTTTAAAGGATAATCTCAATAGATACACAAAAAACATCTGGCAAAACTGAACACCCATTCATGATAAAAGCTATCAGAAATCTAAGAATGAACTGGAATTTCCTCAACAAGGGGTAGCTAAAAAAACCTAGAGCTAATATCATACATTATTCATGAAATACTAAATGCTACCTGAAAGGTCAATAACAAGGCAGGGGATTTCACCCTCATCGATTAAATCCAACCCTATGTTGGAGATCATAACCATCATAAGAAAAATGGGGAAAAGCAAAAGATTTCACATGAAGTAAACTGTTTTCCCCTCAACAGATAATATGATCATCTATAGAGAATCCCCAATAACAGAGCTAACAAACTAAATTTAGCAAGGTCGCAGGATAGAATGACAATATGTAAAAATCAACCATGTTTTTATAAACTAGCAACAATCAAAAATTGAAATAAAATCCCATTTATATAACAGCATAAAAATATGAAATACTTAAACACTAGGGATAAATTAAACAAAATACGAATAACATCTACACACTGAAAACTACAAAACACTGCTGAAATTAGAGATGTAAATAAATGAAGAGACAAATTACGCTCACGGATCAGAAGACTTAATATTGTTAAGATGTTACTTCTCCCCAAACTGATCTATGTATATTTTTAAATCCCAATAAAAAATTTTAGCAGGCTTTATGTAAAAATTAAGTGAAATCTAAAATTCGTATGGAAAATGACCTAGAATTTGAAAAACAACAACAAAGTTGTATGACTTCAATATCTATTATACATCTACAGTAGTCAAGACAGTGGTATGAAGGCCGATGTATACACAGGCCAACAGAACAGACTAGGAAGTCCAGTAAGAGACCCGCACATATAAGCCTACTCACTTCTGACAACGATATCAGGCAGTTTAACAGAAAAAGGATATCCTTTTCAACAAATGGTGCTGTAACAACTTTATATTTATATGCAATCGAAATAAAAAATGATCTTTATATCACACCATATACGAAAATTAATGAATTGGACCACAGACCTAAATGTTAAGAACTAAAACTATGGAAATTTTATAAGAAAATTTAAGAGAAAATCTTACTTGGGTTAGGAAAGATTTCGACATAGGATACAAAAAGTTCAAACTATAAAGAAAAAAAAATATCAACAAACCTGACTTCATCAAAATGAAAACTTCTGCTCTTCCAAAGATATTATTAAGGAAATGAAAAGGCAAGCCACAGACTAAAGAAAATATTTGCAATATATACATATATATATTGCGCGCGTGCGCGCGCGCGCTCGCTCTCTCTCTCTCTCGCTCTCTCTCTCTCTCTCTCTCTCTCTCTATATATATATATATATATCTCACATATATATATATGGACAAAAGATTTGTGTCCACGATAAAAAATTTTTACAAATCAATAAACAAAAGATAGTCCAATAAAAATGAGCAAATACTTTAACAGGCAATTCACTAAATAAGATATATAGATGGCACATAAACACATGAAAAGATGGTCAACATTACTGGCAAATAGGAAAATGTCAATTAAAACCACAATAAGATAACCTACGAACCCAGAATGGCAAAATTAAAAAAGACTGATGATTATCCTTTGTTGGCAAGAATATGGAGCAATGAGAACTTTCATACACTGCAGGTGTGAATACAAAATGCTACAGCCACTTTGGAAAACATTTTAGCAATTCTTAAAAAGTTAAATATGCAGTGACCACATGACCTAGCAATTCCACTCCTAAGTATATACTGAAAAGAAATAAAAACCATTACGTCTACAGAAAGAGCTGTACGTGAATGTTCACAGTGGCTTTACTCATAATGGTCCAGATCTGGAAACGTCCACGGTCTGGTGAACAGGGAAACAGACCGGTACATCCACACGACTGGGAACTTCTCAGCAATAAATGGGAACGAACTTCCGGCACTGGCAGCATCACGAATGAACCTCAAGAACATTTTGCTACGCGAAAGAAGTCACTTTCTTCTTCAAACATGAAAATTACACACTACTTGACTCCTTCAATATGAAATTCTAGAAAAGGGAAAGTAACAAGCCAGGAGCCAGCAAGCAGGGGGAGGGAATGACTGCGCAGGAACGTGAAGAGACTTTCAGATTGATGAAAACATTCTGCGACGTAATTGGGTGGTGGTTACGAGACAGTGTACATTTGTCAAAACTCAAAACTGTACATGTAAAAACTGGCAAATTTTACTGTACATAAACCAGAGACACACACACCCCCAACCGCGGGAGGTGGCAGGGGCGGGGGTGCGGGGGGGAAAG